CCGCCCACCAGGGATAGGGACCGCCCACCGGGTACAGGGACCCCCATCGGGAATAGGGACTGCCCACTGGTTGCAGGGACCGTCCACTGGGTACAGGGACCGCCCACCGAGTGTAGGGACCACCCACCAGGTACAGGGACAGCCCACCAGGTGCAGGGACCGGGGTGTAGGGACTGCCCGACGGGAATAGGGACCGCCATACTGGGTGTAGGGACCGCCCACCGGGTGTAGGGACCACCCACCGGGTACAGGGACAGCCCACCAGGTGCAGGGACAGCCCACCGGGTGTAGGGACTGCCCACCAGGGATAGGGACCGCCCACTGGTTGTAGGGACCACCCACCGGGGATAGGGTCCGCCCACTGGGGACAGGGACTGCCCACTGGGGATAGGGACCTCCCACCGGGGACAGGAACTGCCTACTGGATGTGGGAACCGTCCACCAGATATAGGGACCACCCACTGGGGACAGGGACTTCCCACCGGGTGTAGGGACCGCCCACCGGGGATAGGGATCGCCCACCGGGCGTACGGATCACCCACCGGGGATAGGGATTGCCCACCGGGTGCACGGATCGCCCACCGGGGATAGGGACCATTCACCGGGAATAGGGACCGCCCACTGGGTACAGGGACGGCCCACGGGGGATAGGGACTGCCCACCGGGTACAGGGACCCCCCACCGAGTATAGGGACCACCCACCGGGTTCTGGGACCGTCTACTGGGTATAGGGACCACCCACCGGGTGCAGGGACTGCCCACCGGGTGTAGGGACTGCCCACCGGGTGTAGGGACCACCCACCGGGTACAGGGACAGCCCACCAGGTACAGGGACAGCCGACCGGGTGTAGGGACTGCCCACCAGGGATAGGGACCGCCCACTGGGTGTAGGGACCGCCCACCGGGGATAGGGACTGCCCACCGGGTGTAGGGACTGCCCACCGGGGATAGGGACCACCATCCGGGGACAGGGACCATCCACCGGGGATAGGGTCCGCCCATTGGGCACAGAGACCGCCCACTGGGGATAGGGACCACCCACTGGGTGTAGGGACCGCCCACCAGGGATAGGGACCTCCCACTGGGGACAGGAACTGCCTACTGGATGTGGGAACCGTCCACCAGATGTAGGAACCACCAACTGGGGACAGGGACTTCCCACCGGGTGTAAGGACCGCCCACTATGGATAGGGACCGTCCAGATGGTACTGGGACTGCCCACTGGGTACAGGGACCGCCCGCCGGGTATAGGGACCTCCCACCGGGTGTAGGGAAGTCCTGTATGAAATGGAGTCCTATAGTTAATGCACAGCGGCACAGTGACTGGTAAATAACAATAAGCTGAAGCAAACACAACAGCAGCAGAAGAATGAGCAAGTGTTTGGGGGATCAGAAGAGCTGATTGGTTGGTCATGAAGCTCACAGAGAGAGAGAGAGAGCCCCTCACAGAGTATGATGGATTGAGTATGGATTGCTCAATTATCATTGACAGTGCAGCATTCTCTACAGAAATCTTCAGGTGCACAGTAAAAGGTTAATGTTAAAATACCTCAAAAACAATACTCTACTTCAGCAACAACAGAAGACTATATGACAACCAGAATGGCTGTGCAATGCTTTCATACAGTAACCTTATGTAAAGCCCTGTCCTGTGACTAGTTACAAAAAAGATCAGTAAATAGTAACGTTTACAGCCTAGACTCCTGCAGCCTGTCTTCTGTGGTCCCAGTTTTGTTCTGTTCTTTTTGTGAGATGTGGGTGTCACTGGCTGGGCCAGCATCTATTGCCCATCCCTAGCTGCCCTTGAGAAGGTGGTAGTGAGCTGCCTTCTTGAACTACTGCAGTCCACCTGCCATGGTTGACCCACAATGGCCTTGACAATATATCACAGGAACAGGCCCTTCGGCCCTCCAAGCCTGCCCTTCCACACTAAAACCATCTTCACTTACAGGATCTGTATCCCTCTATTCCCTTCCTATTCATGTATTTGTCCAGGTGCTTCTTGAATGCTGCTACTGTGTCTCCTTCTACCACCTCCGCTGGCAGCACGTTCCAGGCACTCACCACCCTTTGTGCAAAAAACTTGCCTCACACATCTCTTCTAAACATCCCCTCTCTTTGCACCTTGAATCTGCGTTCCCTAGTAATTGACCCCTCCTCTCTGAGGAAAAATGCCTCATACTTTCCACTCTGTCCATGCCATTCACAATCTTATAAACTTCTATCAGGGCGCCCCGCAATCTCCTGCTTTCCAGTGAAAACAAACTCAGTCTATCCAAATTTTCTTCATAGTTAAGCTCCCCCATACCAGGCAACATCCTGGTAAACCTTTTCTATACCCTCTCCAAATCCTTCTGATAGTGTGGTGACCAGAACTGTACGCAATATTCCAAGTGTGGCCTAACTAAAGTTCTATAAAGTTGCAGCATACCTTGTCTATCCTTATACTCAATGCCCCTCCCAATGAAGGCAAGCGTGCCATAGACCTTTTTTACTACCTTACCTACCTGCACTACTACCTTCAGAGATCTGTGAACCTGCACACCTGGATCTCTCTGCATATTATTACTCCTAAGGGTTCTGCAATTCACTGTATAATTTCCACCTGTACTTGACCTTCCAAAATGCATCACCTCACATTTATCCAAATTAAACTCCATCTGCCATTTTTCTGATCAATATCCTGCTGTATCCTCTGACAATTGTCCTCACTACCTGCAACTCCACCAATCTCTGTATTGTCTGCAAACTTACTAATCAGACCAGCTACATTTTCCTCCAAATTATTTATGTAGATCATGAACAGCAGATGTTCCAGCACTGATCCCTGTGGAATACTCCTCGTCACAGCCCTCTGTTCCTTAGGGTGAGAATTCCAGGAGTTTGACCCAACAACAGTGAAGGAATGGCAATTTTATTTTATTCGTGGGCCAGCAATTATTGCCCAGAGGGCAGTGAAGAGCTGACTACATTGCTGTGGGTCTGCAGTTACATGTAGGCCAGACTAGGCAAGGATGAGAACTTCCTTCCCTAAATGGCATTAGTGAAGCAGATGGGTTTTTCCAACAATTGGCAATGTATTTATTGGTCATTATTAGACTCTTAATTCCTGATTTTTTATTGAACTCAAATTCATTATCTGCTACGGTGGGATTTGAACCCAGGTCTACAGAACATTACCTGGATGTCTGGCTTAATAGTCCAGCGATAATACAACTAGGCTATCACTTCCCCAGCAGCATTTTCCAGTCAGGATGATGATTGACTTGAAGGGGAACTTGCAGGGGGTGGTGTTCCCAGATTTCTGCTGCCCTTGTCCTTCTTGATGGAAGTGGTTGTGGGTTTGGAAGGTGTTACCTGAGGATCTTTGGTGAATTTCTGTAGTGCATCTTGTATGGTACACACAGCTGCTACTGAGCGTTGGTGGTGAAGGGAGTGGGTGTTTGTGGATGTGGTGCCATTCAACTGGGCTTCTTTGTCCTAGATGGTGTCAAGTTTCTTGAGTGTTGTTGGAACTGCAAGTGAGAAGTATACAATCACACTTGTGCCTTGTAGATGGTGAACAGGCTTTGGACAGTCAGGAGGTGAGCTACTCGCTGCAGGATTCCTAGCCTCTGACCTGCTCTTACAGCCACTGTTTATGTGGTGTGTCCAGTTGAGTTTTTGATCAATGGTAACCGCAAGGATGTTCATTGTGGGGGGATTCAGTGATGGTAACACCATTAAATGTCAAGTGGCAGTGTAAGATTGGATTATTTAATTGGTAATGGTCATAACCTGGCATTAGTGCAGCGTGAATGTTACTTGCCACTTGTCAGCCCATGTCTGGATATTGTCCAGATCTTGCTGCACTTAAACATGGACTGCTTCAGTATCTGAGCAGTTGTGAATGGTGCTAAACATTGTGCAATCATCAAAGAATATTCCCACTTCTGACCTTATGATGGAGGGAAGATCAATGATGAAGCAGCTGAAGATAGTTGGCCCTAGGACATCACCCTGAGGAACTCCTGCAAAGATGTCCTGGAGCTGAGATGACTGACTTGCAATAAACACGGCCATCTTCCTATGTGTTAGGTATGACTCTGACCACCAGAGAGTTTGCCCCCTGGTTCTCATAGATTTCAGTTTTGCTAGGGCTCCTTGGTGCCACACTTAGTTGAATGCAACATAGATGTAAGGGCTGTCACTCTCACCTCACCTCTAGAATTCAGCTCTTTTGTCCATGTTTGAACCAAGGCTATAATGAAGTCAGGAGCTGAGTGGCTCTGGCAGAACCCAAACTGGGCATCACTGAGCAGGTTATTGCTGAGCAGGTACTGCTTGATAGCAATGTTGATAGCACCTTACTGATGGTTAGATTTAGATTTAAACTTATTTTGTCATGTGTACCCAAGTCCTGGTACAAGTCTCGTGCTGCTCTTGCATGCCCTCCTCATGAATGTCAGTCTTGAGGTGCTGGATCTGCCCGAATTCTGCCCCATTTAGCATGGTGATAGTGCCACACCATACGATGGAAGGTATTCTCAATGTGAAGGCAGGACTTTATCTCAACAAGGACTGTGTGATGGCCGATCTTACTGGTACTGTCATGAACAGGTGCATCTGCAGCTGGCAGATTGATAAGGATGAGGTCAAGTATGGTTTTCCCTCTTGTTGGCTCCCTCACCACCTGCTGC